CCAGAATGGGGAAAAGAAGGGGAAAGTGAAAGGAAGGAGAAAAGAATTGGGAAAATGAGGGGAATAATGAATGATATTGTCCAGAATGGGGAAAAGAAGGGGAAAGTGAAAGGAAGGAGAAAAGAATTGGGAAAATGAGGGGAATAATGAATGATATTGTCCAGAATGGGGAAAAGAAGGGGAAAGTGAAAGGAAGGAGAAAAGAATTGGGAAAATGAGGGGAATAATGAATGATATTGTCCAGCAAGAATGTTTTCCCATAAAACAAAAGTGTAAAAACTACCAGGGAGACAAAATACATTTCTAGAATATTCTCCGATTAGAAAATTAAAGACATAGATTAATAACAACACAGGTAGAACACTAGATGTCGGCTTTTAGTCTGAGACAGAAGCCCAAAGGAGTTCCGTGCAGGCAGCTTTGAATTACAAGACAGAGGGAAAGCATGTGCTGCCTGTGCGGAACTCCTTAGGGATTCTGCCTCATGATAATTGTGAACAAAAAACCCCTAAATCTTGAACAGACGAAATTTAGTGTTCTATCTGTGTTGTTATTAATTTACGATTAAAGAAAAGTTTTTTGTCTATAGCTCTGGACGGTGTCTGATTACATTCGATATGCCACCATTTCAATTTCTTAGAAACGTTTTTGCGTATTTTCTTCTTTTTTTTTGCCGCCATTCTTTTATAATATCTTAGTTCTACATATTCTTACACATTTTTAAACAAGTCTTTTTTGTTTCTGTTGAAATATGAAGACTTCGTTACGGTGTTTTCTACCCCTGTCACTTTTCTTTCCCTATTTTAGGTTTTACCCTTTTCTTTCCTGTTCTTTTCTTTTCTTTCCTTTTCTTTCCTTTTCTTTCCTTTTCTTTCCTTTTCTTTCCTTTTCTTTCCTTTTCTTTCCTTTTCTTTCCTTTTCTTTTCTTGTCTTTCCTTTTCTTTCCATTTCTTTCTATTTCTTTCCTTTTCTTTCCTTTTCTTTCCTTTCCTTTCCTTTTCTTTTCTTTTTTTCCTTTTCTTTCCTTTCCTTTTCTTTCCTTTTCTTTCCTTTACTTTCCTTTTCTTTCTTTTTTTTCTTTCCTTTCTTTTCTTTTCTTTCCTTTATTTCCTTTTCTTTCATTTTTTTTTATTTTCAACTTAACTTTTTCCTTTCTCATTCTCTCTTTTTCCATTTCTTTTCCTTCTTACTTAATTATTATACAGATGACTTATTATCTTAGTTCTTTCCTTTCATTTTCTTCATTTTACATCCCTTTCATCGCTTTCCTTCCATTACTTTCTTTTTCTCTCTCATCCTTCTCAGCATTTCTTTCTCCATTTCCTTTCCCTTTCATAATTTTACTTCTTTTTCGTTTTCTTTTTAATAATTTTCTTTTCCTTTTTCTTTCTTCTCTTTCTTTCTACTAATTTGTTAAATTTTCTAAAACTATTTCTATTTTTCCCCTCGAGGCGGTCAGAATATTTTCCCCTCGAGGCGGTCAGAATATTTTCCCCTCCTTATTAGATTATACAATCATTCAATTATGTTGTTATGCTAATTATCTTATTAATTAATTATTTTATTAGATTTCGAAGATTTCTTTAATGTTGTATAATTCTGATTAAAGGGACTGTACGCGGAATTTGAAGTGACCTGCAAAGATGCAGGCAAGGCCCGATTCACAATGGTATCCTTGAAATATTTATCTGATCAATGATATGGAAGATATTGTCTTTTTCTCGCTTGAAAAGTGTTTAATTCTGACACTTATAATTTGTTTCCTGCAGTAGAAATGCGCAACTTATTTTTATATTCTCAGATTAAACATTTTTATATTCTCTGATTAAACATTTTTATAACTTTTAGAGAACCGAAAAATTTAAAATATTCATTCCGGTTTTAGGCTTTTTTTAAATCGAGAAATCCAATTTCCTTTTTAAATGAAATGTTGGGATAGGGGGGTGGGGAGGGGATGACTCATAGAAAATAACTTTTATATATATGTGTCTAAAAAAATACCAAAATATAAAAAACCAAATGTTTTCAATAATTTATAAAAGGAAATGTAAAGGGTTATAAACTTAATTCTTTCCAGAAAAAAAATTAAGTTTAAAAACTAAATCTGAATTGAGAAACAAAATAAGCTTTAGCTTCTTAATGTGAATTCCATGTTTTTCTATCAAAAATCAATAATCTTTTGCCGCTGCCCGCGATATTGCCAGGAAGAAATGGATAGAATTTTTTTTGATGAGCTGCAGGGTTTAAGGAACTGTGTTTATGTCATGTGTATGTAGACCAGGGAGTAAGGAATATCATAACTGACACGACTCGCCCTACCATATGATTATACATGCTTTGCAGACGGGTACTTCATTTGTGTATGAAATATTCAGAATAGGTTATTGTATACGCGGTAATTGTACATCAGACAAATATTTCTTATTCAAATGGATACCATCAGCAAAGCATAATCATAGGGCGAACCGCGTCAGTTATATCTCCCTTCTATTCCTTACTCCCTTGATGTAGACTTAATTACGTAATTATTTTTTTATGCGCTTGGCTTGTTTGATTATTAATGATACCCCCTTAGTATTTGTATATGATTCAACGATGATGAATAAGTTATTTTATAATTTTTTTTATTCAAAATGTATATTCATGTGACCCTCTATGCAAAGATTTGAACATGTCTATTTCTGATAATTCCAATATGTGTTCCTGCAGTAAAAATGCGCAAACCCCTTTTGTAGAGAAACCAAAATTGAAAATAAACAGTTTTCAAAATGGTAAACGTTCATATCTAATTCACAAAGCTTTTCAGGGTACCATCAGGGTACCATCAGGGTACCATCAGGGTACCATTGTCATCTTTGCATGGAGGGTTACCTGAAATTACGCGTAAAGTCCCTCTCTCGCATCATTTGGCAATTTGATATTCTAATATTTTTGTGTCGAAACTGCTTTTCATTATTTCAGACCCCTCTGGT